GCGTAATTCTCCTCGAACTCCTTCAAAGTTGGAGACAGCCTCAATTTCTTCCATGCCGAATCAAATGTTTCCCATTTTTCCTCGCTTTTGAAATGCTTCCGGCAATTCTTCTCGATGTTCTTCCAAATGTGCCAAGAGCACAGGATACGGTTGGCGTTTGGGTAGACTTTCTTGATCGCATTTATGACCGCTTGTTCATGGTCGGTGACGATCACTGAGGGGGATTCTTTATCCATCGCTAGATGGAGATGCTCCAGGCAACGCTGGGCCAGCTACGCTAACGGCAGTGTTAGCCTAGCGTAGTGTAGCGCAAATACGCTACATTGTAGCGTAGTGTTAGCGCAGATTTCTGTATCTGCGCTAACGCTACGCGTGTGGGCCGCAAAAAAGGGCCCACTACGCTGCGCTACAGCACATTTTAGCGGTTTTTTGGCCGTTTTTGCCGCTAAAAGCGCTGTAGCGCAGCGTAGCGTAGCGTAGTGGCACTAACAGCGCGCTAACACTACAGGTTTGGCGCGCTGTTCTGAGGGCCGCTACGCTAACGTTAGTGGGCCATTTAGCGTAGTGTAGCGTAGCGGCCCACCGTTGCTCCAGGGCCCACGTATAATTTGGTTCCTTTTCAGCTGAGAGGAAACAAAAAGCGACCGAGAATGACCGATTGCATGAATTCATTCCAACGATATGAAGCAGGGGCATGTTGTACTTGTTTGTCTTGTATGTACAATCGAGGAGGATCGTGGTTGGGAATCGTTTGACCAATTCAAGGGAACGGGGGTGTGCGAAAAAGAATGAGGTCATGTGACCTTCAGAACTGTCGATCATGAAGTAAAAGTGGTGATCACGAATTTGATTGACAAGGGCCTCAATTGGTGTGCGTCCTTGAAGCTGGTCCATGCGCATCTGGTTTTGATGATTGTAAATCGTGTTGAGGGTGGCATGCGAGGGGGTATTGGTGTCTTGAACTAACACCGACTTAATCTTCAAGGGGGCAACACCGGCATTGGTTAATTCGGTGACCTTTTCTTTTTGGGAAGAAGTCAAACATCTATGGATCGGCCAAAGCGGGGTGGTTGTGATGCGGATTCTTGATCTTGATTCTGTAGCATCCTTGCCTCTTGTAGAAGTTTCCCAGGAATTCAAAGGGACAGCCAATCTTTTTCGATTTGCCCAACTTGTCAGGATTCGGTTCATCCGGTTGGCCAGATCGGTCGCATTTATAAGTCCCCCGGTCCTCCCCATTCCAAGACGTAGTGTTGGTCTTCTTAATTGCATAACCATGCTCCAAGGCCCACCTTTGAGCAGCGTCATCTAGTTCCGTGCGGGTTGCGTAAGACAACTCCGGAGGCGACGCAAGGGAATGAGTTTCGGCTGACGGAGTGGTTGACGGAGGCAAAGTTGAAGCAGTTTGTTGAGTTGGGTTGATGTCAGAAGTTGTGTCAGAAATTGCAGCCGAAAGAAGGAGGAGGTTGATGTGGCTAAGACTGTCAGACATCTTATCCAGGTGTTGTTTGAAGTTGAGTGATGATGAAGGGTTCGACCAGAAAAACAGAGATGTTGGCGGTGTAGAGATTCAAGAAAGAATATTTTTGAAGGTTCTCTAGAAGAAATCGGTTGAGAAACGCCCGAGTTATTCAGAGATGGGCTTTGACTCCTACTAGCGATAGAGTGATGATTTAAAAAAAACAAGAGGTCTGCCAAGAAAAACAGAGACTGTGGCGGTCAAGAGAATCAAGAAAGAAGATTATTAGTGTTTTGATTAAAGAAAATGGTTGAGAAACAGATGAGTTATTCAGAGTTGAAGTTTAAGACCTACTAGAGTTGAAGTGATGAATTAAAAAAAACTAGAGGTCCAACGGCAAAAACGGAGACGGTGGCGGGCAAGAGGATCAAGAGAGAAGATAATTGATGGTTTTCTTGAAGAAGTTGGTTGAGAAACGGATGAGTTATTCAGAGTTGAAGATTAAGTCCTACTAGAGTTCCAGCGATGAATTAAAAACGACGAGAGGTCCAGCGGCAAAAACTGAGACGGTGGCGGGCAAGAGGATCAAGAGAGAAGATGATTGATGGTTTTCTTGAAGAAGTTGGTTGAGAAACGGATGAGTTATTCAGAGTTGAAGATTAAGTCCTACTAGAGTTCCAGCGATGAATTAAAAACGACGAGAGGTCCAGCGGCAAAAACGGAGACGGTGGCGGGCAAGAGGATCAAGAGAGAAGATGATTGATTGTTTTCTTGAAGAATTTGGTTGAGAAACGGATGAGTTATTCAGAGTTGAAGATTAAGTCCTACTAGAGTTCCAGCGATGAATTAAAAACGACGAGAGGTCCAGCGGCAAAAACGGAGACAGTGGCGGGCAAGAGGATCAAGAGAGAAGATGATTGATGGTTTTCTTGAAGAATTGGGTTGAGAAACGGATGAGTTATTCAGAGTTGAAGATTAAGTCCTACTAGAGTTCCAGCGATGAATTAAAAACGACGAGAGGTCCAGCGGGAAAAACGGAGATGGTGGTGGTGAAGAGAATCAAGAGAGAAGATGATTAGTGCTTTTATTGAAGAAAATGGTTGAGAAATGGCTGAGTTATTCAGAGTTGAAGTTTAAGACCTACTAGAGTTGAAGTGATGAATTAAAAAAAACCAGAGGTCCAGCGGGAAAAACGGAGACGGTGGCGGTCAAGAGGATCAAGAGAGAAGATGATTGATGGTTTTCCTGAAGAATTTGGTTGAGAAACGCCTGAGTTATTCAGAGTTGAAGTTTGAGGCCTAACAAAGCATTTTAAAAAAAAAAAGATGTATCAGCAAAATTGAAGATTGTGGCGGTAAAGAGCATAAAAATTGGGTGCTTTTGGTATTTTTTTTGTGAATTTTGGTTGAGAAATGGCCAAGTTGTGATTTTTTGAAGTTTAGAGTGTACCTGCAAGTTGGGAGTGAACCGGTGGTGAATCGAAAAAATCTGAGTCCGTGGCGTCGAAGAGGATAAAAATTGGATGATTCTGGTATTTTTTTTGTCGATTTTGGTTGAGTTTTGACCGAGTTGTGGTGTGTTGAAGGTTTAGAGGGGGGGTGATGTCCTTTTTTGATTGTGGTGAGTGGTTTTGCCTGCAGGAAAATTTTCAAAGTTCATGCAGGCACTTGTGGTACGCGCGCGCGCCCCCTGGAGGCGAATTTATGCATAAAATATGCATAATTAATAAAACCGCGTTTAAACGCGGAAACCGCGTGCGCTGCGGCGCATCAAAACCGTGTCAAAACGCGGAAAAACCGCGTTTTTTTATTAAGGCCCAAAAAAATTAATAATTAAAACTCATTTTTATGGAAAATGGTTTTCACCATTAAATTCTATGCGCTTTGAAACCTAGGAAACAATTTTAAAAATTCAAAAAAACTCAAAAAATAAGCAGTAAAAAATTAATTAAAAAACCGTGTGTAAACGCGGAATCCGCGTGTGCTGCGTGCAGCAGAAACCGCGTGTAAACGCGGAAAAACCGTGTTTTTTTATTAATTCCCTTTTTTTATTAAGGCCCAAAAAAAAAATTTTGATTTTTAGTTGGCAATTTGTCCTCCTCCAGAATCAATGCTTGGTTTTTTTCTTGCTTTTTTCCCAAGTAATTACCTGAAAATCATTTTTTGATGACCATTTCCCATCATATCTGAGCCCCCTACACATTATTATGACCCAGTTTTCAGTTACACTAACAGTTATTGTAACTTTTTGATCAGTTACGCTAACAGTTTGTGTAAATTTTTGATCGGTAACGCCAACAGTTAGTGTTACGCTAACAGTTAGTGTAACTTTTTAGCCCACTAACCACACCACAATTCCACTAACAAGGGATTTGGTTAGTGTTAGTTTTTATTTTCTTTCAGTCAGCTAATGCTATGCTAAAGTTTTTTTTGATTTTGTAAGTCCTGTAGTGTTAGTAGGCCAAAATTTTTGCTAACAGTAACTTTTTTGTAGTGTAGCTTAAAGAGCTAACACTACGGTTAGCATAACTAGCCCACTGTTGCTCCAAGCTCTATCTCCCTAGTAGACTAGTTTCACACCGGGAGGATTTCTCTCAGCCATTGGGGGCTCTTTTTGGTGAGCCAACCCCCAAAACCCAGTTGGTTTTGGGGCATTGACCCCCAAATCCTTTGGGGGTTGTGTTGAATTTTTGAACTCAATACAGGCTGAAGAGAGGGAATGACACAAAAAAGGTGGAGGACTTTTTTGGGAAAGGTTCGCGGTAAAAGAATGAAAGAACCGATGTTTTTTATTCACTGTATATAGGCTGACTTAAGTAGACTAAAGTACAAGTGATCAAATTGTGGTTGAGAGAAAAATGAATAAAAAAGTATTTTGAATAAAAATTGAGAGAAGATAAAACAGGTTCTTAAAAATAACAAACTAGACAAAAACTTCTCATTCTCTTGTAGTTTATGTTAGATGAGTTAGTTAAGAAAAAATGTTTTAAATCACAAATAACAAGAGGCGTTAATTCTTATTAATCAATTTTTAATATCAAACAATAAACTAGAAAAAGAAGGAATTAATACCGTAGAGACAAGAGTGATTGAGTTGAGCTTATTTTCTTAAGGTTCAAATTTGACTCAAAAGAGGACTCAGAAAACAACCAAAAACTAGCTAATTGGAATAATAACTTCAGTCTGATTTAAGGTGATAAGAAAGAGAAAAAGGTCAGAGTGAGAAAGATAGGGAGAATTTCAACAGGTTGGCATTTTTTTATTTAGGGCCTGTACCATAGGAGTCAAAAAACCGTTTTTTTGCTCCAAAATCATTTTTCTTTTCAGAAAAAAATTTATGCACAAAAATGTGTACCATAGTGCCCATTTTTTGGCAAATCAAATAATCAATTTTTCCCACAAACCATCATTTTGGAAAAACGGCTCTGGCCCTGTTTTTTCGAGCCATTTTTCCTCAAGGTCCCCCATCACTACTGCTCAGTCATCTGTTCATATCAACAGATATCAACTCCGCACATACTACACTCATCATCATTGACATCATGAATTTCATTGACCCCGCGTTTCTCACAGGAGACATCCTTCCCCCTGCTCTACCCTCTTCACCCTCACCTCCACCTGCACCTGCAACTGTTCCAATGCCCACATCAAACAAAACCTCAGCAACCAAGACCAAGCACAAAGCAACTCCAAAGCCTACCGTTTCCGCTCAACCAAGTAAAGATGCTCCAAAGCCAAAACTTTCTGCTCCGCCAAAAAAAGAGAAGGTCGACTCAAAACCCAACCACATCTGGACCAACAACCAAAGAAGTTCCTTACTTGAGTTGATTGCATCGCAGAATGCTGCCGGTCACGCAACTGATAATGGAAACCTCAAAAAAGAAGGGTGGTCAGCTGTAATCAAGAAGCTTAACTTGAAGCATGGACTCGATCTCACCTCAGAACAAGTGAAGAACCAAAAAAACCAGCTTCGGAAATTGTTTGTCGACTACCAATTCCTCCGAAACCAGAGCGGATTTGGATGGGATGAAGATATATCTACTGTGACCGCTGATGAAACCGTATGGGACGAACTATTTGATGCTCATCCTCGACGTGAATTCTCCAAATTGAAGGACAAACCTTTTCCATTGTACGATCTTGCCCTCAGTGTCTTTGATGGAACAGCTGCATCAGGCGAAACTGCACAATCACATCTTTTTCCAGCTACAACCGATGCAGTCAAATTACCACCTCCCTCAAAGAGAAAGATCGTGACTCTTAAAAGTGACGATGAGAACAAAAGTGACATTGAGATTGACCCCACAACATCTCTCAAGACTGCCACCTCAAACGCCACCACTCCCAAACGTGTACGCGAATCAAAAAACTCGGTTATTAGATCTGAAATGGAAGGTATCAATGGTGCCATCAGTGCCGTCTCTGAAAACTCAAAGGAGCTCATGGGTGCTTTCTCAAAGATTTCCTCAGCAATCTCAAAAAGTGAACCGAAAGAGGCGACACAACCAATCAATTTAGATTCGACCAACTCAGCTAACAACTCAAGCTTTGTTCCTTCCGAGCCTTTCCTATCAACCATTTCAATTTCGGAAAAAGCACTCGATCTCTGTGCTGAGAAGTTTCTTGGACATGTGGCCGACAAAACATATGTTGAATTCATATCCATCTTAGAAAATGAGACCAAGGCCCGCACTTTCCTTGCACTCAGCCGTAATTCAAACAATCGCATCTGTCAAATATGGCTTGAGAAGGAAGTTGGCAAAGTAAAAAAGGATTTGTTTCAAATCCTGCCATTGGGTGAGTTGTTCAGATCTGTCAGCGCCGGTCTCTTATGTGACCAGGCGTTGATGGGGTAATGGATCTTACTATAGCCTGTAAGGGCCAGTAGAAATGAAACCTCACCTCGACGCTAGGAAGCGGAGGGGTTAGCTCCCTGGGTTAGAGGGGACAACGGTGGAATGAGGATCACCTCGCCTGAGCTCAGAGTGGTACGATGACTCTCTTCTAGACTACAGTAGTGACTTAACTGTAGTCTAGGATAGTAGAATAAGGATGAAGATAAAAGGTAAAGAGAAAGGGGAGAGTGTACTGCTAAAACCCCACTCACTAATGTTAAGTAAGGTAAACGGGTTTGTATGGCAAATAATCTCTGGGGGAAGGAATCCTAGAGGGAAAGCCTTCCCCTTATGTATTGCAAGGCAGGGTTCAGGCTGCCTGTTGGACCGGACAGGTCCACAGATGATCATTTATGTATTTAAATCATAAATGATCAAAATATGTATTTAAATTATGATCACACCAAAAGTGGAGGAAATGACATCATCTCTCTCTTTGGGTGAATCAATACAGAGAGAGATAAATAATTAATCCTCATTGGTAATCATCTCTCTCATTACAGCAGATAATCAAGAGAGAGATGACTAAGCTTTTAATACATATGTATAATATTTATTTATTACATAAGTATAGAATAAGATACCAAGGACACTGGGACTTGGGTACATCCATCAAGATATACCTCATCCTTTGAAGTGGTCATAAAACCACTAAACTAAATCAACTCATGGAAATATGAGCCAATGCAGACATTTGGACATGTCCTACATGTCTCGTGGCTGACAAGATCCGTCTTTACTGTGTTGATCTGCCTTAATCTGATGTTTAAAGATCCTCTTCATTTTCATTTGATCTCTAGCTTATCTCGCAACTTTCAACTATCTTGCTCTTTCTTGGAATGGTCCCATGTGTCGGTCTTGCCCTCACCTGAAACGGTCTTGCTCTCACTTTAAAATGTCTCGCTATGGCTTATAACTCTCACTTCAAACGGCCTCGCTTCAATCGATCTCGCTTCAATTGATCTCGCTTGAAACGGCCTAGAGATCGTTCATTCGGACCTGTTGGGGGGTACCTGCCACACTTCAGATCAAGCCCTCCACATCAACAGCCACCACAAATACCAGTGGGGGGCCCAGTACTAAACCTTCATCATTACTGAACCCTCTGGAAGCATCAGTGGTGTCTGAGGGTGTGGAGGGAGTGTTTTGAAGTGTGACAGGTACCCCCCAACAGGTCCTGTCAGCCTTAGAGCCAGCCAAGCTGGCCAAAAGACTGCTTAAGTCCTCCTTTTTTCATTCAAGTCCTTACTGTAACTTTTTCATCTTAATCTTTTATTGCATTCTGACTTCAGAAATGAATTCCTCTGTTAATTTTAACCTTAGTCTCCCCTACACACTTTTACACTACTCCTCTCCTTCACAGACTTTGTAATATTTCACCGTACCATTGTGAAATATCTACCAAGTTGGAATTCCAACTCTCTACCACATGTACATGTTGCGATTATGTAATCCAACTCTGAAAATTCTCTCAGTAGACACTGAGTTCGCATTTTCAGGATCTTCAAGCTTCAGACCCACCCAGAACCAACTCAGACCAGAAACCCAGCACACCTCAACTTGGATTCACCGCCGTATCATCGCCGTGTTATCGTTTGGAGTCCTTTACTCTTTGGAATCTTCCCACTCTCAGTGTCAGGATCACCAAATAGTAAGTCATTCCTTCAAGTTCAGCTTGCATCTTTCTGCTAAGTTCCTTCTCTGTCTCTCTGAATGATCACATCATTCCTTTTCTACTAAACCTCTGCCTCAAACATCATCTTATCAAATCAAGTCATCTTAATTCTCTGTTTGGTGGTATAACTAAAAACCACATAGGTTTCCCTTTAAAGACCCTTGATCTTAGATCTAAAAAATAGTGGCCGGATTGATTTATCAATACCAGGAACCCTTCTCAGTTTCAGTTGAGTTAGGAGGCGTAGATTTATTCCGCTATAGAACAGCCATCCTTCCACAGGAAAGTAAGACTGCAGTAAACCTTGATTATAAAACAAATAAACAATAAAAAAATATTATTCATTTCTTTTTCATTTTCTTTCTCTCTCTTCTCCCTTTCTCTTATTCTAGTTGTATTTCTCTATCTCCTTGAAATACATCTAGAATTGCCCCCCCATCCTTGTGTCCTGCTGTCACTTTTGAGACCCAGGCTCACAGGTCCAAACTAACGATCTCTAAAACGGCCTCGCTTCAATCGATCTCGCTTCAAACAGCCTCGCTTCAAACAGCCTTGCTTCAAATGGCCTCGATTCAAACGGTCTTGCTTGGAACGGTGTGGAACTACTCAACCAGGGAGATAGAGCTTGGAGGGGATATAGACGACTACACTAGTACTAATGTAAGTTGAGACTACAGGTGCTGATGAGGCTGCCCTCCTGTACAATGCTGATGGGAAGAGTGTAACACTAAGAAAAAGAAGAATAGAGGTGTGGCTGATTTCTACTTTATCTTAGACTACTATTACTGATGAGCTTGTGTATGTAGTACCTACTGAGGTGTGAGGAGGAGGAGCAATGAGGTGTGATGGGATAATACTGGCAAGGGTGTAATACTGGAAAAGAGGAATGGCACTGGCAAAGGGTGATAATCTGGCAAATGAGGATTTATAACTGGCAAAGGGGTTTATAACTGGCAAAGTATAGCTGGAAAATATAACTGGCAATGATATCTGGTAATGATATAAGGGTGATGATAATTTCTAGTACTAAAACTATGGATAGACTAACATAAAGCATGCATGGAAATCACATGAGGGAAAAATACATGAGGAGGAAGAAAGAGTATATATGTGTACAACATGTACATACAACAGCAAAGCACTATGGCAGGGGAAATCCTGGCTATGGGTAATGTAAATCTTAAACAGTAATGAGTGATGAGAAATAATGTAACCTAGAGATAGATGTTCTGTGTATACAAGTGCTAATCATAAATGGAAAGTCAAAGCTGTGTGAAGAGAAATATGTATATGATGCAGTGTAGTTAAGATGATGTACTATGATGAAGGAGTGATATTACATAGATACTGTAACTAGATAATGTGTAATGTATATGTACTGTATGTATGAAGGAATGTACTGTTCTGTAACTATGAATATACTGAAGAGATGATAACTAGAGTACTATAAGAGCTACTGAAAAACTGTAAGAGGTGACTAGGGGTGAAATGATGTGTAGAATCTGAATATGAAATAATACTGGGATGAATATTTGTAGAAATGATGTAAAAAATGAGGATACATGGAAAGGTATGGGCATACCACATCCTCCCCCAACTTATTGTCTGACCCCAGACAACTGAAGGAAAGAAAAAAAAATAAAAGAAAGGGGAAAAAGTGAAATGGAGAGTAAGAATGACTAAAAAAAAATCCATGGAAGTTGTCCAGTGATCCAAAGCAAAAGTCCTCAGAGTCATGTGATCCTGAAAGCCAATCCTGTGTCCAGAAGTCCAAGTCCAAAGAAGTCCAATCCAAAGATAGTATTCCAAAGAAGTCCATTCCTGAAAAGATCCAGTCCAAGTGGTCCAATCCAAAGAAGTCCAATCCAAGTAGTCCAATCCCAAAGAGTCCAAAAGAAGATGAAGTCTTGATCCAAAAGACCTGATGATGATTATAAAATAAATCTTGAGTGTACATAACCCAACTATGATCTACTACTATTTTGAATTCTGCTGATAAGATTTTCTAACTAAGGGATAATACTGGCAAATGGTCTAATACAAAGCTGTCTCAGCTTGTAAAACTAACCCTAAAAAATAACTATTACAAAAGCCAACTGGGCCTGTAAAAAGCTAATGATGATGTTCTGGTGTCCTTAGTATAGAAAATAATAAAAGCCTACTGATAAAAGTTTGAGTATGTTATAACTGGAAAGTGTAAACCCGGGAAATGATGATGTAATTATATCTGGAAATTTAGATGTTACTGTGTTTCTAATTATGAAGGCTGATGGATGATTATGGATGTGCACTAATGTAAATCAGATAAATGTACTGATAAATGATGTGGAAGGTACTAGTTGGGGATTAATCAAAGGATGGATAGTGAAAAATGAAGTTGCTGGAGTGTAGTGCTGGAAAAACATGGCTGGAAATATTTGATGAACCTCCAAAAAAAGTGGGAGGGAGACTGATCCAAAGAAGACAAGATTCTTATCCAGAAAGCTGATGAGGGAGTGAAGCTGGATCCAAAGAAAAGAATTTATGATGGATGAAAGGAGATTGATGGATTCATGGAAGATGATGAGGGGATGATATTGGCTGATTATGATGGTGATGGAAGAATAAGAATTCAGGATGATGGTTGATGCTGAAAAAGTGGTGGATGAATATTTAATGGTGGATGGAAAGAATATTGATGGATGAAAGGATGTTGAAATGGTTGCTGATGTTGGATTGATGGTTGATGGATGTTGAGATGGTTGATGATGTTGGAGGAAAGGAAAATTGATTGAAGAATGGTGGTGTTCATTGCAAGTGAAGGTTGATGATTGAAAATGTAAGAGTAGTCTACATGGTGGTTGAAACAATAATTTGATGGATGAATGATGTTGAAATGGTTCATGATGTTAAGTGGCAAGAATGATTGATGAGTGAAATGTGTAATATTTTACATGGTGGATGCTAAAAAATTGGTGAATGATTGCTGATGAGATGAGTAAATGATGAGGAAGGGATTCAGAAAATCTTGATGGGGGAAGAATGAGTGAATTGAAGAATTTTTGATGATGATCAATACTGGATTGTATTTACTGATGGGTGATGAAAGAAAAATAATTCAGAGAGATAATTCATGATGATGGTTGATGATGATACATTGATGAGCAAGATGTATTCTGTGATGTTCATGATGGGTGAAAGAAAAAAATCCTGGATGGAGGGATTCTTCAGATGATTGGTGAATGTAATGGATGAATGATTGTTTTGATGAGTGATGAAAGAAAAATAATTCATGATGGAGGTTGATGATGAGATGATTAACTGAATTAATTGATGGAAAATTTCTTGATGAGGATCAAATCAGGAGGAAGGAAAATGATGATGGCAAAAAAGTGGGTTCATGTGGTTCCCTGGATTTGATAATGATGGAAGGAAAGGGAATTTGATGAGAAGACAATGATTGGTTGAATATTGAATATTTACTGATGGTGATGGAAGGAATAATTACTGATCAATGGTGAGGAGGGGATTGATAAAGTCATGATGAGGATCACAGAAGGAGGAATTGATGATTTATTGAGTCAAGAAATCAATATGCTGAAAAGTTGATGAGTGGAAATATGTAGGATAATTACATGGTGGATGAAAGATTAATTGATGGATGAATGATGTTGAAGTGGTTCATGATGTTGAATTCATGAGTGAAATATTTTCTGTAATGTACATGATGGATGAAAGAAAAAATTGATGGATAAATGATGTTGAAGTTGTTCATGATGTTGGATGGAATCAAAAATTGATGGATGATGGAATATTGGTGAATGATTGCTGATGAGATGAGTAAATGATGAGGAGGGGATTCAGAAAATCTTGATGAGGATGAATGATTGAGTGGGGAATTGATAATGGTCCCTTCAATTTTCTGATGTAGGTGAATGAGGAATCTTCATGATGATGAAAAATGGGGGTCCAGGAGTTCTTGAGTTGATGAATCCATAGTGGGATGGATGATTCTGGAAAGATAAAAAAAAGAAAAATTGGCTGTGGCTCCTGCTTTCCTGGTGGAGTTGAATGGAAATGAAAATGAATGTCTCAAATGGTCCCAGAGTGTGTGCATTGATACATTGCTTGATGAAGTTTACTGAAAATATGTTTGAGGAAAATTTGGCCTGAGTCCTCAGAATTAATGATCATTGTTAAAGCAGATTTAAATTGATTTCCCTAAGAATCCACAAAGGACTGTGCATTGGAAACCTGATCCTAGTGTGTCTGAGCTTTCCTTGCTGAGGAGCTATGGTTGCTGCTGGTAGCCCTCCTCCCATAAACAGTTCAGAAGTTGCACGGATCAGTGCAATTTTGTTGTAGAACAAAATAAAGTTGAGACAAGGCCAGGGGTCAATGTTTTGGTAGCAAACCAAAGCAGTCGATGGCTCTGGATTAATGACATCATCCATATTTTTTCCTTTCAGACACTTTTCTTGCATCTGGACAGTCGCTGGGAAGTGTTTGAGAAATGGAAAGGTGATCAGTGATGCCCAACCGTTCCAAGGCAAAAAGGAATAAATGAAAACAAGCGCGACATGAAGGAAAATAGACCCATGACACCCCAAAAAAGGGAAAATCAAGAGGGAAAGAGCGAGAATGATGGTGTCATTGGTAAAGAGGTCCAAGCGATCCTGTTGATGTTTTCTTAAGTGGTAGTGCCTGCTGTTAATCATCTGTATCACTTTCAACTGCTTCGCTTCCAAAACATCTCCTTCTGATTTACTCCTCTGGACTTCGCTCGTTCCAGCTAACTTGCTACCACCAATCTGCCTTGAGGATTTTTCAAGCAAGCCTATCCTCCATCGCTGAGTAGTCGCGACCTGTCCTTCCTTCCTGTTGAAACTGTAGACATGCGTTCTAACTATATCGATGACCTTTTCTCCTCTAGGTTTTTCGTATCCCAAGCCGAAGTTGTACCTGGCATTTTCCTTAACATGGCCTTCACCCAGGAGACAAGGCAACCTCTGGTGTCCTGAAGCAAACTGATCTATGATGCAATTGAGAATGTAGTAAGTTATTGACCCTGTAACCACTTCGATGGCTTCGATATTGCTAGACCTAACGAATGTGATATTACTTCTGATCGCGATAGAGTTGGAGCAACCCCTCCTTCGTTGTAGCCAAGTTAAAGGAACTGTTTGATGTCCCTTCGCGACGTCATTGAAGATTTGATCAACCCAGGCTCCTCGCGCAAACTTTGTCTTGTGACTCATATCGTTTTGGAACCAGTCGATGCCCTCTGGAAGGCCAAGGCCAAGAAAGGTTTTGATCCGAACTGTAAGTGCCCAGTTTAGAACATTTTCCAAGGGTGATTCCTGACAGCAACACTTCCTGAACTGCAATTTTGAGGTACCGATACCATCAAATTGAAAAGTGAACTTCAGACGGGCCAAGGGAAGGTTATGAAAGGCTTCTGGGTGTGAGTTCTGGAGAAGATTTCCACATTCCAGAACTGATGTCTTCAGACAAATAATCAGGAAATCAGGAACTGGTTTCTGACAACAAAAATGTTTTAATTCCAGGGATCTGGTGGTGAGTTCCTCCCCCAACTTGGCTGAGGTCCCCATCAGCTGGGAAGACAGAAAGAGTTGAGAGGTGCTGGAATAGTGGGCCTGATGTAAGTAATCCTTGGTGGCCATTCTGGAAGGTAAGATATCTCCCCATTTCTGATGGTTATTTAGGGAGACTGAAATAAGAAAGAGTTGTTTTCTGATATCCAGCCCAGCTGCTGGTTCTTGAATTTCATTACTGATATTGAAAGTTGCAGATAAATTCCTGAGCAAATTTATTTCCCCAACAATGGAGCCAGTATCCACAAGATCATGTTGGCCAAGTCCATCATGGGTGAGTCCCAGTCTTCCAAAATGGTGAGCAACTAAATCCTGTTTATCTTCATACTCTGATTTTCCAAGGTTTTCTGAAATGTTGTCCTCTAGTGGTAGGATTCTGTTGGGAAATTTCTTCAAATCTTCTGGAAATTCATGTTCTGAGGTAAGTGTTCCCCCATAACTAATAAAATGATCTTGATCCATGACTGAGAGCTTTTGATTTGTTTTCCCCAGTGATCCAGGGTAATCTGTGGCCAAATTTGTACAAATTGAATGTTTCCTGGGAGGTTCTTCTGTAAGGAAATAAGGAAAGTGCTGAATATCTGAGTAATGAATTAATCTGTCCTTGAATTGGTTATCAGAGAGTTGAGGAAAGGAATAGCTGGAGCAAGAGCTGAGGTCTGGAGAAGAAGATTTGAGACTGGAGTTGGCCATATTGAGTAAGTCTGGTTTGTCTTTTTCCATGAGAATTCCTTTTTCCTGAGTGGTCCATTTTTCTATAGCTGAAGTTCCTTCCTGTTTCCAGGTTGATATGTTCCTTTTTGCTAGGTCTGCTTTGTGGGCTCTGAGTTCCTCTGGAGAAAGTTCCACCAGCTGGCCAAAGGAGGAGAATAACTGGACTGAATTCCTGGAATATTGGTCCACCACCTGTTTGATTGGCCTGCTAGTGTCCCATGGAATTGTAGTGCTGTCTGGAAGCTTGAATAATTTTCCATCTCTGGTTACTGCCCCAATGGATTCATCATAGAGTACTGAGTTGCACTTTCTGGTACCATGGCCTTTGAGAAAGCAATAATAACATTTGAATTCTGATTTTCTAGGAGCTGGTGGAGATGACTGGGAAGGAGCTGGTCCTGAAGGATGAGTTGGGTTGATTTTTACAGAGTAGTAAGCTTCAAATTTCCTGGTAAGTTCTTCAAACTTTTGTTCTAATTCATTGAAGCAGGCTGGAGTAGATGGCTTGGGAGCTAGAGATGGATTCTTGATGGCAGTAGTTGAGTTGTCCAATTCCTTAGTGGGTTCCATGGGTTCCATTCTGTGAAGTTTTCTTCTTTCCATAACTGATGTTGACTGAACCTCCCTGTGTATGTAGGCCAAAATAATTTGAGTATCTGGAAGAATATCCCCACCATCCATGGAAGAAAGCATCTTGTTGTCCATAATGAGTTCCCTAGTGACTGAGGCCTCCAAATCAGGACTGAGAGATTCCAGTAAGAGCTCCCTGAATATCTCCAAGCTGTTAGAGTATCCCATCCTGAAGAGATAGGTGGTAACTGATTCAAATTTGGTCCTGAAATTCTTGAATTCCTCCAGAGTCTTGATTCCTCCAGCTTGGATAGCAGTGTTGACCAATTTCTTCAAATCCTGCCTAGAGTATTTGACCAAAGGAAGAGAGGATCCAAACCTGTTGAGTAGCTGTGCCTTCAAAAGTTCCCAGTCTGAGTCCTCATGGCCAGTCATTTCTTCCACTTCGTCCTTGAGGTCATTTCCATGGATAAAAGATATAATCTGTCTGGCCAAATCTTGAGCAGAAGCATCATCAGCTAACCCAGCATTCTCATACCTCTTGATAAATTTTTCCACAGGCATGTTGGTTCCATCAAAGAGAAGTTCCTTATCCATGGGCTTGATTTTGACTGATCTGGTGCTGGTTCCTTTGTACTTGGGGAAAACTGGCTCCTTGTCTAGAAAGTGAGTGTCTGGATTTCTGGTGAATGAATGGGCTGATTGCTGATTGTTGTAAATATTGTTTGATCTGGAAGTAGAATGAGAGATGGTCTGTCCAAGGCTGGAAGTTGAGGGTGGGACATTGTTGCTGGTGGATTCCTGGTCAGGGTAAGTGTTGTTGTTAAATCTGGTATCCTGAGACATGTCTTCTGATTGATTGAGAAAGTTGGTGACTGATGTGTTATGGTTATTCAGGGGAAGCAGAGTGGAAGCCAATGTAATATAAGGAAAAAGAGTGTAGGAATTGAAGAAATAATTCTGGGAAGTGGAAAGGTAATAGATATGTAGTCTGATTCAAGTAAAATGATGAAAATGAATTGGGAGGAAGTATGGTAAAGATGAGGATGGAATGATGTTTATGAGTTGACTAATATTCTGTAGATATCTGGAGAATAATAAATCTGGAATAGAGAGGAAAGGATATGAGGGATAGCAAGGGAGAGGGAGGAAAGTAGGGGAAATGGTATGTAGGTAGTATTACTGGGAAGCTGATAATAATAGTGTTACTAGGACTAAAATCTAAAGGAGGTCAAGCCACTGTTGGGACACCACTTGTGGAACTACTCAACCAGGGAGATAGAGCTTGGAGGGGATATAGATGACTACACTAGTACTAATGTAAGTTGAGACTACAGGTGCTGATGAGGCTGCCCTCCTGTACAATGCTGATGGGAAGAGTGTAACACTAAGAAAAAGAAGAATAGAGGTGTGGCTGATTTCTACTTTATCTTAGACTACTATTACTGATGAGCTTGTGTATGTAGTACCTACTGAGGTGTGAGGAGGAGGAGCAATGAGGTGTGATGGGATAATACTGGAAAGGGTGTAATACTGGCAAAGAGGAATGGCACTGGCAAAGGGTGATAATCTGGCAAATGAGGATTTATAACTGGCAAAGGGGTTTATAACTGGCAAAGTATAGCTGGAAAATATAACTGGCAATGATATCTGGTAATGATATAAGGGTGATGATAATTTCTAGTACTAAAACTATGGATAGACTAACATAAAGCATGCATGGAAATCACATGAGGGAAAAATACATGAGGAGGAAGAAAGAGTATATATGTGTACAACATGTACATACAACAGCAAAGCACTATGGCAGGGGAAATCCTGGCTATGGGTAATGTAAATCTTAAACAGTAATGAGTGATGAGAAATAATGTAACCTAGAGATAGATGTTCTGTGTATACAAGTGCTAATCATAGATGGAAAGTCAAAGCTGTGTGAAGAGAAATATGTATATGATGTAGTGTAGTTAAGATGATGTACTATGATGAAGGAGTGATATTACATAGATACTGTAACTAGATAATGTGTAATGTATATGTACTGTATGTATGAAGGAATGTACTGTTCTGTAACTATGAATATACTGAAGAGATGATAACTAGAGTACTATAAGAGCTACTGAAAAACTGTAAGAGGTGACTAGGGGTGAAATGATGTGTAGAATCTGAATATGAAATAATACTGGGATGAATATTTGTAGAAATGATGTAAAAAATGAGGATACATGGAAAGGTATGGGCATACCACAACGGTGCCATTTCTTACTTTTACCTGTTATCTTCTTGATCAATGTTGCTTGGAACGGTGCCATTTCTTACTTTTATCTGTTATATTCTTGATCAATGTGATCTGTTTGCGATATATTCTACTCAAGTTGCTCTGATCGATGTGAATAGAGTCTGAAATGAAATTAAAGATAAATTGGATTTGATTGATCCCTAGCGATTGAATTGATTGGGTCACTCGCTTTCATTTCTCTATCTGACATCAAGTATGTATTTGATATTACCTAAATAACATGTCAAGCTTATAAAAAAAAAGAGAAAGAATACATTTCAACAGGATCATGATTAGGAAGTGGAGGGAAGGTAACTAATTTTGCCTCTTGTAAGTAACATATTGTAAGAAGAGCTTGTTTGCCAGGCGATCACGTCGGTGCTTCATCATTGAATCTTCATTGGCAACATTGAAAGCCTTGTCATCGGTGTTGGTAGTCTGAACGACTCTTTGTTCTTCGTCAGGATCATCAAAAAGATTCTCTAGCCTCTTGTGAGTCCGAATGTAGTTCCAGAGTGTGCAAAGGGCGTATATCAAGTGGACCTGCTTCTTTAATTCCACCTCCGGTGCAGAATGAAGTATTGGAAATTTCCGCTTGATGCACCCAAAGATTCTTTCAACAATGTTTCGGAGGGTCGCTTGCCGGAGATTTTAAAGCTCTTTCTTGTTAGCTGGCTTGAGGCCAGCCTTTGCCTGCTCTTTCAGGTGGTACCGAACACCTCGGAACGGAGTCATCAAGCCTTGTCGAAGCCCATACCCAGCATCCGCAAGGAAATATTTACGTTGTGGTATCTTCAAGCCCTTTGAGGTCGCATCGTTAAACACTTGGTGTGGGATGCTTTATGGTATACCATATTGCTAAAATAAAAATTTTATTCATTTTCTCTTTCTTAGTCTATTTTTCTCTATTTTTCTTTAGTTATCACTCTATATCTCTATTTTCTCTATTTTTCTCTTTAGTATCACTCTATATCTCTACAGAATCAAAATCTATGGCTCAAAATACCCTTACTAGCCACTTACAGTTTATTCATAGTTCTACCCTCTCTCACTCTACATCATTACTGGCACTGACACCCATCATTTACAACCCTCAAGGCTACATATACAGGATACATTAACAGGAAGCAACTGCACTCAACATACTTGAGTCCTGCATGACCAATACAAAAGTATACATGCAGGTGCAGCAGGTTGCAGCAAGGCGCATAAGTCCTGCATGACCAATACAAAAGTATACATGCAGGCACAGCCGCCTGCATGAGTGGCTGATCACCGCCTAGCAACTGCATATTACATCATCAACAACCTTACACAACCCTGCAGGATACACATCAAGTCCTGACCAATCACAAGCACTCATTCAGCCTGCAGCAAACCTCTCACAGGGCTGTACAATTCCGACCAATCACATTCAACCATTCAGCATATGTATTCCTCATGTAACTAGTCACACTGCCTCATGTAGTGCCCCCCTTGGGGCCAAAATAACTCACTCTTGTCTATATAAGGAGGCTCTCCTCCCCCCCAGTTGTATCTTTTTTCTTTTCCCCAGCAGAGTACTGCCCTCAGCAGAGTACTGCACCAGTGTTTCCCCTATAACATTAACAACCTGCTCAACCATTATTATACTCTTACATATTTTATTTACATACATATCATTGAAATATCAATTATTACACATCTCTCAACCCATATATAATTACCCAACCCTTATTTTAGGAGCCCCTTCAGCCAACTTGCACCTGGTTGAAGCCTTGGCCCTTTCAGTACATATTAATTACATATAAATACCTTACACGACATACCATCCACGGCTCAGACGACAGTTATCTTTTGATAACACTCCACTATCACTATATAAACCTGCCAATCTGAGATTGGTGGGCTTGTTTTAGTGTCTAGTGAACCAGGAAAGGCAGAGGCAACCTCACACATCCCTTTCCGCACTCAGCAAAAGATTCTCAGGAATACTTTTGAGCTTAACATCGGGTGTCGTGGGCACTGCCTTCCCATCCAGCAAGAACATAGACAAATTCGAAGTTGAAATTTACAGCTGCAAGAACGTTCTGAGCAATGAATCCTTTGCGATTGCGCCAGGGGCTTTGAATGTTGGCTGGTACAGTAGCTGGTATAAATACACCATTGATGGCCCCGAGAGCGTTCTTGAAAGCTTTGTATCTGGGGTTTTTGCTGATATCGTCGGGCTGGATGCACGACTCCATGTTGAACTTGACGTAGTTAGGATAGATGTTTACCAACGAGTCAAGAACAAGACCAAAGTATCTAATGCCATAGGAGTATATATTAGTCTCAAGAAATAATACCAATAAAAATAGAAGACATACCGTGTTACTGTGTACAACCCACGCCGAAATTTGACTGCTGTCTGTCGCATGGCATTGTTGTGACAAAGGATGTCTAAGAATATTAATACTTGTTCTTCTACACAGACCGATCGACCATCTTTTAGGAGTCGATTGAACTTCAATTCCTCAACTAGACTGTTGAAAGTTGAACGTTCCATCCGAGTGATCTCACGGAAAAGCTCAGGTCTGACTTCGTTCAGTAAAAATCGAGTGTACCTAGCTTGCCCTCCATCGCCATAGTAGGGCTCGTATGTGTTCCACATCTTTCCAAGGTAGGTGATGGCCGCTCCAGCAGCAGCAATAGAGATTATAGTGTTGTTTAGTTGTACGAGGGAAGCTCCGGCAGCTGCAAGCATTGCAAGTAAGTTGTTGTCCATGGTAGGTTGTTTGAGGTGTTGTAGGCTAGTATCAGACGAGTGAAAGTAAGTGAATTGAGTGGCAAGGGAGGGAGGATTCGAGGAATGGATGTCCATCATAGTCCTTCATGGTACATGTTATTCAAATTTGGTTTTTCCAAAAACAAAAAAACAGAAAAACAAAAAAGTGCAAAAAACAAAATGATTTTTTGGCCGTCAAAAAAACTGAATTCCTATGGTACAGGCCCTTAAACTACGTTGAGTTCCGAATCCCAAACCCGCTGATGGGTTTGAGGGGTTGACTCCCAATCTCTGGGGAAAACCAGGTATTTTTTGGGGAATTTGGGGTTTACAATTCAACTCTCCAACTCTTGGGAGTTAATTAACCAAGCCCCTCATAAAAAATCTTTTCAAACTTTGTGTAGGTGTTGCAGCTATTGTGTAAATGATTGCGCCCTTTCCACTTCTTTTTTTTTCTTCCACAAATTCTTTTTGCCCCTGATGCTCAAATCCTGGTGTGGTAAGACCAAAAAAACCCATTAAACATATAAAAGACATATTAAAATATTAAAATAGTAAATATAAACTCAAGAAAACAGGTAATGATATCAAATAGTCATGATAAGGCCTTTTATTCTCAAATCATAGTTATTTTCCTTGATATATATATATATATACATATATATATATATATATATATATATATATAATTATATATATAACTCAAAAATAGGCTTAGAGAGCCAAATATATATATATATTTACACTAAACAGACTAAAGTTATAAAACATACAAGGAAGATCAAAAGTTTTACATATATTTACAAAAAAAAACAGATATTACAGAATTATCTCAAATCACATAACATAATAAATAATCAAGGAAGAAGTAGAGATAAATTATTCAATCATAAGGCAGAAAACCACGCAAAAAGATCGAGATTCAAATAGCATTAAACCAATTAATCATTCAGCATTTAATCATTAATTATGTCAGCTAGTCACTGATAAAGCAGGACAAACTGACCTGTTTTTAGAAATTTAGTTGTATTTTTTATAATTAAAAATTATTAATTGCATTAAAATCATAATTGAGTATAGGAAAAAACCAAGACAACTGTCAAAAACCATCAGGAGCACGCGCTGGAGACTCCGCAGCAGCTGAATACTGTATTACAATCCCTGTGTCATCTCCAGCTCGGTTCCTTGAGGTGTGACACCCAGTTTCTCAGATTTCACACTCTGAAAGGGAAAGGCCAAGGTTGGCAGCGCTAGTCATGTGAGCCTGGGTCTCAAAAGTGACAGCAGGACACAAGGATTGGGGGGCAATTCTAGATGTATTTCAAGGGGATAAAGAAATACAACTAGAATAAGAGAAAAGGAGAGAGAAAGAAAGATAAAAGAAATGAATAATCTTTTAATTGTTTATTTGTTTGATAATCAAGGTTTACTGCAGTCTTACTTTCCTTATAGGATGGCTGTTATTAAGCGGAATATATCTACGCCTCCTATCAACTGAAACTGAATAGGGTACCTGGTATTGATATGTCAATCCGGCCACTATTTTTTAGATCTAAGATCAAGGGTCTTTAAAGGGAAACCTATGTGGTTTTCAGTTATACCACCAAACAGAGAAGATGATGATGACTTGATTTGATGTAATGAAGTTTGAGGCAGAAGTTTAGTAGAAACAGAATGGAGTAATCATTCAGAGAGACAAAGAAGAAACTTAGCAGAAAGATGCAAGCTGAACTTGAAGGACTGACTTACATATTGGTGATCCTGACACAATGAGTGGGAAGATTCCAATAGGTGAGGGACTCCTAACGATAACATGGCGATGACATAGCGGTGAATCCAAGTTGAGGTTTGCTGATTTCTGGTCTGAGTTGGTTCTGGGTGGGTCTGAACCTTGAAGATCCTGAAAGTGCAAACTCAGTGTCTACTGAGAAAATTTTCGGAGTTGGATTACATAAACACAACATGTACATGTGGTAGAGAGTTGGAATTCCAACTTGGTTGATATTTCACAAGGTACTGTGAAATATTACAAAGTCTATGAAGGAGAAGAGTAGTGCAGAAGTGTGTAGTGGTGACTAGGGTTAAAATTAACAGAGCAATTCATTTCTGAAGTCAGAAAGTAATAAAAGATTAAGATGAAAAAGTTATAGTAGGGACTTGAGTGAAAAAGGAGGACTTAAGCAGTCTTTTGGCCAGCTTGGCTGGCTCTAAGGCTGACAAGTCATGACCTCATGACTAAGGAAACAACTCTCCAGGCCCCAAAAGAGAACTCGACTCCCATACGCCATCAACAATGGACCCAATGAATATAAAAGCTAGAACCAAAAGTACAGGTCAGAGGAGGACAAGAATTCAGCACCGAGATTTCACTTTTTCTATCATCTTCATCTAAGAACCTTCATCCATAAAACTAACACCAAACACTTACAACCCTAACAGACCCCACACGCCTACAACCTTCCGTTGTCGCTGTCGTACCGTGAAACAGGCCAAGGATACTGTCTGGATTAGTACTTGAGTACCAAGGAATAAGACCGCTGACCAATATCGAGGAAGGACTACCCACTGTTCAGTAAGTCTCCTCCTCCAAGTCATCTACCTCCGTCTCCCACCTCTATCCCCGCACAGACTACCACCCCTAGACACCTCTAGGACCTGCTATTAAGCTATCTAAGGTCCTGTCATATATCCGCGGCAGACTCAAGCTTCCATCTTGAGGGCATTTTAAAAACATCCAACAATCTGGGCCCCTCTCTTCCCCTCACCCAAACTACCAAACCAAACCTCTCCCATCAACGGGTGTAGCCAGAAGGCCTTCGGTCTTGGCATCCCCCTGTCTGACCAATTAATCATTCAGCATTACATCATCAATTACACAGCTGTTCATCATTAAATACAAATCAGTTCTTCATTAATTCACAGCCACATACCATTAATTACTCGGCCACTCATCATTATTTCACAAAATAAAGATCATTAATCACACAGATAACATCATTGACCAACATAGCAGTAGCAGCGGTGGGCAGATACGTTACGGTACGTTACAGCAGGGGATTTGGAGAACGTAAATTTTTTTTGGTTATCCAAATCTGCTGTTTTTGTAAAGTAACTAAATTTGCTTGTAAAGTAAAGTAATGTAACCAATTTTATTTTTTCCATATATTTTTTTGGGGTAACGTAACTTACTTGGGGGGAGGGGTGTTATGAGAGGTTGAAGGGCTAAAACATATTGCATATAGCTTAACGGTCATAGAGTGCCTCACATGTACAGTGAATATGTGGAGGTTGTGGGTTCAATCCTCACACCAGACATCTTTTGACCTGGCTTACTGGTGAAATGATAATCTCTGGTTGGTTTATGATCATATTGGGCAAATTATCTCGCACTTAATGAACAAAACCATCAATAATCAGTGTATCACCAGCAAAGTTACCCTTAAGTTATCCAAATATTGGAAATTCTGTAACGTAACCCTGTTTTGTTCAGAATTTCTGGGAACGTAACTAGAAAAAAAAGGGGGCTTTTGCTCCAGTAGATATCGTAACTGAAATAAAGATATCTGTAACTTGTGGTTAACGTAACTGTAAAGGTTACGTTGCAGTCAATGTTATCTGTTTGGGTAACGTATCTGCCCATCGCTGGCAGTAGATTATTAATTCCACAGCTGCACATCATTAAATTCACAGCTTCACATCATTAATTTCACAGCTTTAGATTATCAATTTCATAGCATGACATCATTAAATTAGCAGTGTATGGTCATTACCCAGTCAGATCAATTATTTTGATCAGTGTAGCTGTTTACCATCCCACCAGAGATTTTGTCTGTAAATAGAGGCCCTCTCGGCCCATGTTTTCCTTCCTTCCTCCCCATGTCTGCATCAAAAAAATAAGTAGAGATCTTATTTAGCATTCATCAACCCCCTTACATGCTAGCGGGAGAGAATTAATTAGATGTATTACTTAGCTTTCATCAACCCTTATATATCAGAAACTCAATGAATAGTAATAAGAGATATTACTTTACCCTTACTCCTCACCCTTTTATTGAACCCTGATAAACAATAAAGATATTATTATTTAACACTGCTCAAAACCTCAACATAAGATATTGAAGAAATAAAGACTCACTTTATAAGAAACCAGATTAAACCAGAGATCCAGTGTGGTAAATAATACTGTGTTTCTACACAGAAAATACAAAAATTTATTATTATATCTTTATATATTATAATATATATGGTCAAAATAACATCAGAAATGGATTTCTCAGGTAAAATTACCCCTAGCAACGATGAAACGATGCGATACGATGCGATAAATCGCCCTGTATCGGTATCGCATCGTTTTAGCGATACACGCTTAAGCGATACCGATGCATCGCATCGGTTAAGCGATGCAATGCATCGGTATCGCATCGGATTTGCGATGCGATACCGATGCATCGCATCGCTTAACCGATGCGATGCATGTATTTATCGCCTGTATCGGACGCATCGGGTCAAAAACCATGTGTATTTAAAAAAAAGAAGGATGGAAAAAAAAAAGAATACTAATGGAAAATCAAGAAAAATTGGAGCATCAAAATCAAAAAAATAGGAAACAAGTAAATAAAAAAAAGGGAAAAATGAGCATCAAAATAAAAAAATAGGAAACAAGTAAATAAAAAAAGGGGAACCAGTATAAAAAAAATTGGAACTGTGTTACCCAAAAAAATAAAATTAGAAACAAATTAGCTCACTGTTTACTCACATATTGAGAGTAGAAGACACAAAAAGAGAATACTGACATACTTTTACTATGAATAGGTGGAGGTGATGGTGGTGAGAGGGTGGGGTGTGATGGGTGTGAGGGAGGGGAGGAGGTGTGATGGTTCAGTGAAGTTTGAGTGATGGTTCTGAGCTGTGATGGTTGTGAGAGGTTGTGAGGTGGAGGCTGAGCTGTGTTGTGATGGTGGTGTGGTGATACTGATAGGTTGTGAACATGAAGTAGCTGGTGGAGGCTGGTTATGGTTGTGAAGCAAAGTGGGTGGGGGGTAGCAGGTGGAAGCTGGTGATGATAGGGGTGTAGCGGTGAAGGGCCTCTTTCGATC